AATTACTAGGATTTAGGATTGAGATTTCTTCTAACCTTAAAATAGTTGATTATCTAGACATCACCCTTAAACCTTTAAATCTTACTATAAAGAGAATGAAACCCCCAACTATATTAATGTCAGTTCTAACCACTCTAATGAGACAAATACCCACTACCATTGGCACCAGAATTAGTAAATTATCATCCAACATAAGAATCTTTAATAAAAATCAAGAAATGTATGAAAATTCTCTCCATAAAAGTAGCTTCAAAAATAAATGATCTAATCCTCATAAGTAACATCGAAATATGTAAAGTGGGATGTAGGCATAGAAATAGAAAAATTATATGGCTCAATAGCCCCTTCTGCAAACTATCAAATATTGATATCGGACAGCAATTTCTAAAACATTTTCACAAAAACAACCCTCTAAGTAAGATCTTCCATAGAAAAATGATTAAAATTAGCTATTCCTGCACCAATAATATGTACAAAATTATCAACTCACATAATAACTATATTTTAAGTAAATTCTATAGGATAAACAATAAAACTGGCGTGGAACCCATCTAAAATTGTAGAAATAGATAAAATTCCCCAGTTGAGGGTAAATGTAGATCTACTAGGGTGATATACCAAGGAACCATTACCCCAAGAAAATATGTTAAATTATAAGGTTTACACTGGAATTTCCGTGGGGGAATGGAAACAGAGACTTTATACCCATAGGCACTATTTTACCAATCCTAAATTAAAATAAAAAACCAGACAGCTCTTTCAAAGGTATTGAAGGAGAAATGTCTGAACCCTCAGATAGACTGGAAAATTATAGGTTTCACTCATACTCCTAATAGGTTACACCTATTTCTAAGACTATGTTTAGAAGAAAAAATTAGAATAATACCATTGTCAAAGCAAAATATTAAATCAAAGGAATGAATTAGTTTTAAAATGTAGACATAGAAGCAGATTTAAACTTCTATAATAACATAGATCTTAACTTTATTAATTTTAACTCTCAAACATTATATCTCAAACTATATTTAATTTCTATATATTTCCTTTTCTCCTCCATATTAATCTTATAACTGTCCCATTTTATGTACACCTTTTCTTTGATCACTGTATTTTATAATTTTTAAAAAAAATTTTTTGTTTTGTTTGTTTTAGTTTTCTTTCCCCCCCCCCAGGTATAGTTTGGTTTTCTTAATAATTTAACTTGTCCTTAAAGTTATAAATAGATAATTTATTTTATCTTTAAATTTTTTATTCCTTAATAATATAAGATTTTTAAAATATATTCTTTCTTTATATAATTTATCTAAATACATCTCATTTGTATAATTAAGTATAATTTGATATTTTCTAGTGGGAACGAAAAATTTTTTTCTCCTTTAGTTTCAATTCAACACCTCATTCTTCATATAACCCCAAGTTAGGGTCATATCCGGGTTGAATTTGTTGAGCCTCTTCTCTTTTAGACAGATACTATCCATCCTCCCCTTACCACTGACTCCAACATTTTGTCTGGCTGAAGCCTTGATTTGGGTATGTTCAGTATCAATTCTTCAACTGCTAAGTTCTAAATCTATAATTCCAATACAAATATAGTCCATCCATCAGGGTTGAATAAGACCAACATAATTTGTGTTGGCTGAAATAGATTTATACCAACATGTGGTAATTTTGTATTTTTTTTGCTGTGTTATTATATATATATATATATATATATATAATAAATAAAATCCACTCAAGGTAGAGGGTTACAGAATAAAAGGCACAGTTTATGGGGATATATTTGGAGATAATGATTGCCCCTAAACTAGAACAGGTTAAGATATACAAGAATAAAAACAAAAGAAAAACTTATTTTAACTGATATGTTTTGTCCTCTGATGGTCTTTATCAAGATTTATATTCCCCTTTTACAGATATATATGAGAATGATTTGAAGTAATTGTAAATGTATTATAGGCACTGCTTCTTAGCCAACAATAATAGTGCCAAGAGGTGGAAAACAATTTGTTTAATGATTACAACACATGGAATCAAGGAGAAGTCTTGAGAATTCCATCATGCTGTGACAGAATTTAATGAGACTATTCAGAAATGTAGAGGATTCATAGAGAATCTTCGAAAAATAATAAATACAAGAAAATCATGCTGAAATTAAAGTTTTTAGACACACTAATTCCCTCTGCCAAATTATGATTTTCAAAGAATATTCAATATATAAAAACTGAAAAACCATTTTTTTTTTTTAAATTAATTTTTCATGGATAAATAAATAAGGAAAGTAAGACATAAGTTTCTTATGTAGGAATTAGAATAAAGATTAAGGAATTCACAATTCTATTACTTTTAGTAAATGATGGTTAAGTGTTTAAAATTACTTTTATTGCAGGAGACCAAGAGACCAATTTGCAAAAAAAAAAAAAAAAAAAAAAAAAAAAAGGAAAAAAAATAAAGAAAAAAAAAAAATTCTATTTAGATACAAGGATGAGAAAAATGATCTGGAAAATATAGTCAATATTATACTTCATATCCCCCTCCCACCAACCATAGGTGAACAAGTATATAAATGGAAAGAAGAATAAAGTATACTGTTAAATTGATTGAGAAAGTGTTAAAATTTGAAAAAGTGATTCCAGTGAGTGAACAAAATGGAAAGAAAAAAATGTTTTGATAATCAGTAACTTAGAAACAAAATTTAGTAAACAAAATACCTCAAAAAGTTATTATTAATAGTTGTTTTTAATGATGTACAAACGTGATACAGGAATATACTTTCTATGAATAGAAATAAAGACAGAAAAGAGGTTGAATTACATTGAGAGTTTTTAAATTTTCAAAGTTAATTCATTTATCTACCCCACTTTTTTCTATAATGAAAAACAAATTAAAAATGTCCTACCTTTCGAAAAGTTTTGTTTTTGTTAGCTAACACCTGTCAGTAAGTTTGATGTAGAATTAAATGAATTGCTACTACTAACTGGCAGCATTCTTACGAAAAGTTACTTACTATTTAAGTAGAGGGTAAGTTTAGAGCAAACCACACCTCAAGCTTAGAGGCATAGCTGATAACATGCTCACTACCACTTTTTTTTCCTGACATGAGTCAACGAATGTGGTGATGCTGCTACTTAGGATGCAGATTCTGGAAGAATGTTTTAAGGAAGGATGTAGGTGGAGATTTTATTTTTATTTTAAAGATCATACAAATTTGTGTGTGAGAGTGAGAGAGAGAATACTGAAAAGTTCATGACCAAACCAAGAAGCCTTTCAAGAAAAGGGAAAGAAAAAAATGTTATGTTTTGTCAGATTCTGGGAAATGAGTCAGGCCAAGAACTTTTCAGCACTCCCTCATACATAATATAAATTTTCAAGTAACCAGAATTATCAGTTTTATTCTTAGAGACTAAGAGGAAGAAAGAAAGAATCCTATGCACTGACCCCCCCCAAAAAAAAAAATCAATCTTAACCCTACCCAAGACAAATGGGAACAAATTTGCAGATAAACTAAGGAACAATTAGTAATGAACCAGTTTTCCCACCAATTTATCAGCTTTGTTTTTTAAGTGTGTTATATATAAAAACATTTAAATCATTTAACATGGTGATTCCCAAACTGGCTGAGATGGGGATTCCGTGAGGTCAGTGAGAAAAATGGGCACAAAGGGTGGCAGTAGTACATCTGAACCATAACATAAGCCACACATACCCATTGTACCTGAAATGTATCTTACAGTGTATCCCATTTATATGACAATTATTATGGAAAATACTAAGGTATTTATTTGACCTGCAATACTAGCACCAAAAAAATCCAATTAAAGGATGCCTATACATTGGAGGGTGTTTTGGTACACAAGGAGGTGGCACCCTAAAAAAGTTTGGGAACCACTGATTTAACACTATTTTAACATAAAAAAATAATGCATTAATTTATTGTTAACCTACTACATTAAAACTGTTGCTACAACTTATAGATTCCACAGACCAAATCTAATAATGTAAAAACCAAGTCCAAGGGAGTTAAATCAATTTTAAATATTTTTTTTAATTGACAGCAGAATCCATAACTCAATTGTCAGCAATCACCTCCCTTTTAAATTTGGCTAAAGCTGTATGCCATAAGTTAACTTAATAGGGATTGTCACATTACTATTACAAGCTAGTGTTGAGAAGTTATCAGCTTGACTTAGAAGCAACACAAAAACAAACAAAAATCTGGTTTAGCCACTTGTTCAGATTTAGAGAAGTGGGTCATGACAACTTTTCAGCACTCCTCAGAACTATTGGATTATTAATACTTCATCTAGTACTATTTTTAATGTTACCAAAATTAACAATCATTATTGATACTAACATTTGAAATTATGGGTCAATGGCGGAACATAGGATTTGATGCCTTAACTACTAGCTTAAATACTTGGTTACAGATAATTAGTCCTACAGGTGTTTAAACCCATTTCCCTATTTATATAAATATCTACTATTATTATAGTGATGTCCAAATTCTCAATATATGATGATAATTATATTTTTAAATGACTTTACTGGAAATGTGTGCCTTGAAGAACAGGAACATTTAAAAAGCAAAACAGTATCAAATTAAAAAAAAAAAAAACATAGAAAAAAAAAAAGCAGGAAGTTGGTACCTAGTTGTGATATAATAGTCATCAAACTCATAACAAATCAGGACAAATGAAGTCAATCTTGCTTCAAAATTGTAGCCTTGTAACAAAACCAAGCTGTACTTTGTAAATAGCTAAATAAATCAGGAAGTTCTTCTATTTTAAGGAGTTGGGTTATATCTTATCAGTCAGTAACAGGAAAGGCAAAGTGGCTTGCAAACAGACATTTTGGTGGAATTAAAATTAAAAAAAAAAAAAAAAAAAACCCTGAATCAAGGGTCTTATTTGAAATTGTTTCACCAGAATCAGAAGTAGTAGAAATGTAAAAATTTATCTTCACAGAAGCAGAACTACATAAATTTCTCAGAATATGGGCCTAGAGCCATATCACATTGAAACACCAATTCTCATCCGATTACTGAAGTTAAGCAATGTTGAGCCTGAGCAGTACCCATATGGGTGACTGCTTGAAAATACCAGGTGCTGTAAGTTTGGATGTGCAAGTGGTGTAATGGATAATGGCCTGGAATTGGAAATCAGAAAGCCAAGTTCCAATCCCATTTGGATTCATTATATTCAGTTAAACACAAATATCCATGAGAAAGGTATGAATCCACCTCTTCTCTCCCCAGCTATGGGTTAACTAGTAGGACTTGTATCAGTAAATCCTTATCTCCAAAAAATTCTTACAATATAAAAATATTTTCTGGCTTTAAATAACCTGCAAAAGGTTAAAAAATAAATCAATCAGAATACTGTGTGCGAATTTTGACAAATGCATATTTGTTTTTGTTTTTTTTAGTTTTTTTTTGTTTTTTTAAATCAATCCACTCCAAGCAAGCCAATAGTGCTGCTAAAATATAAGGGGCTACTGGAAGTGAAAGAGGATGAAAAGACTTTAGAAGGAACCAGAAACCCTATCCTAAACAGGAAAAAAAAGGGATAAACCTCTACTCTTGTTCAAAAGACTGAGGAGGAGTGTGAACCAAACAATAGGTGAACCTATCTACACATTCTTTTTCTTTGATAGGCAATATGAAACAACAGTTAAATGGACTGCTCTCTCATTTCAACAGGCACTTTACATATGGATTTTTTTCTTGACTGTCAAGTTCATTTATTTGTTATTGGTATAAAAACATTCAAGAGAATGGATCATTTTAGAGAGAGATTATCATGGTTTTTCACCGATTACAGTAGTCAAGAACTTAATAACAATAATCCCTAACTAGAGCTCAGAAAAGAAATAATAGTGAAATCAGAACATTTATCCAGTCTTTCCAATAAAGATTTTTGTAAATTTGAATTTCAATGCCTGAAGAAGACTAATGAGTGAAAGACTACACAAAGAACTTTTTATTTTTAAATTCCAAGGAGGTTATGCTAGCCAGAAAAAAATTAAAGAGTATAAAAAAAGGAAAGACATATGAAATTTAACTGGATATGCAGTGCAGACAAATACCCAATTTAGTGAGAAGTATGTGGGTCATATGTGATTAATCATATGAATTAATTTTTTTATTTTTTTTACTTATAATATTGATAAGTTTATGCACACTGTTTACATTGTACAAGAGTTTGTTTTCGGTTATTCTGGTGATGAATGGACTAAGAATGGATTAATAGAATTGGACCTTTACAATTTCTACTTTTGTAAACGGAGATATTTTTAAAATGGGTATAAACATTAATACTTCAAGAAAGAATTACCTGTGTTTAGTCTCCTCTTTTTAAAAGAAAAAAAAAACTGAATTATAAAAAGTAATCCAAAGATGAGGTAAAACAAATTTATTTCAACATAAAGAGAAAGAGTTTCTGAATAGCCAATGTTAATATGCTAAAGTGTTGCATATAATATTTTTGTAATTGTTTTTCCATGTTTGAAGAAATACTTTATACTCCCCCCCTCCCTTTGGCTTCATCTATTTCTTCCACCCACCATACATAAAGCAGGTATTACAAGCCTCATCTCATGACTTTTTTATTCTTATTTGTCACTGACATGATAGACACTTAATATCAGTACAGCAAGTTTCCCCCCACTTTTTTTAAAAGAGAGTTCTTATGTACATAAAATTTAGTGCCATGAAATATGCATGTATTTTTTAGATAAGAATATCTGTATAGATACATGTCTATTTTGTTTACATTCCCCATTATATTTGAAAGAAAACAGATTCCAAGCTTGCTTTCTCATTTCAAATGGCTTGAATGTTCTGTGATAAACTTCTTCAGCCCAAAATAAAGTTTTTTTTTTTTTACTTATTTTTAAAACTTTTTGGCAGCCTCTAATGAAAACTTATATATTTTCAAGTATCTTTACCTCCCAATGACTGACAAATCTAAAACTGGTACCCAATATACCAAAATTGTGTATGTATGATGGGATAAGATTTGAAGGTGTGCTTATGATAGAAGGTCTTCTAAGTAATTAAGTTTGGATCTTCAAAAATTTCCAAGTGCACCAGCAGGTTAGGGCAGCTAGCCAATCTATACTGCAGATGTCTTGCTCAGTCACCTTTTGTGTTTGTTCAACACTGCCAGATTTATACAGCACCTATGCTGATCAGAACTTAGTTACTGTTTCTAGGAAAGAAAGTGCATAATCTGGAATGATCAGCATTTTTGAACAACACCAGAATGCACAAAAACCTTGGTCATGATGACTTGTGACTTTGTGCTAGCATAACTATCAATGGCTTTCGAATAGTCCCTTCTGCCCCATTTTAAAGCACAAACCTTGAATCAACCTATTGTACGGTTTCCAGGCACTTTTCAAAGATGATGCACACTGAGATTGCCTCCTCAGACTGATAATATGAAGAAGTCACCTTCCTGACAATCCAATCATGGTGAAATTTGAACCCGAGTCTCATGCTCAAAAAGTGAATGTTCTAAGCAATTGGTCATATATATATATATATATATATATATATATTCTGTTAAAAGTAAAAATAAAATCATCTTTGATAATGGCTAAAAGTATACCCAAAAGCACCTACAGAACATTTGGACAATTTCTATATAATTTATGTCCAAAATTAAAATAAGAACACAAGAAAAATTAAATAAAAAACAGCCATAGTACTTTATCAGTCCTTTTTTCACTCACACACACAGAGAAAAACATGCAGATCTTTAAAAAAATACAATTGTGCCGTATATATCATTCTGCTCAATAATGCAGTTTTAAATGTAATCGCTTGTCTGATGATCACAAGAGTGTGAATCCCAGGGTTACAAACTCACATGAATACAACTATGTTACCTCTATCACTGATATTGAGCTTTCTAAATAAGTACCGCACACACACACATATATATATATATATATATATATATATATATATATATATATATATATATATATATATAATACACACACACCTACATGAATATAATCACAGTAACACATATTTAGGCATAGATAATCACACCCAGTGTGCTATTCAGATTGGAACAATTCTTCCTTTGGACTTGTTGATTTTGAGGAAACTAAGAACAAACAGCCTTCTATTTTAAATAGACAACCTCATAACCCACACTCACCTTGTTGCAAAGAACACTTTCTCTTTGCCTTCTAAGTTCAATTTCCTTATAAGACAAAACTGTTTTTCTTCATTCTCCAACAATTTGAAACTGAAGCTTCTAATGTTAGGTAAAGTGAAGACAAAACTGAACTGAAATCAAATCACTATTTTTTTTTTTTTTTAAATTAAAAACTCTGAGGAAAGCCTTTTCTACCAATAAGAATTTTTTTCAAACATAGGTTTACCAAGTTTAATGTTACTAGAAAAATAGTCTGCATTCTTCATCCATGTTACTAACAAATGATTGTGAAATGGCAATCAGGGAATTTCAATGATAGAAACAAAACCACAATAAAAAAAAAAAAAGATAAATAAATAAAAAATTTATCCTGTACTTGTTAGAATGTATACATTATACCCTTTGTGCATGTGTTATGCTATATTTATGGGTCAAAGTGCTCAATATCAGGAACAGACTATGTGCAAATGTGGACACCGAGGTCAACACCAAGAGGCGACAGCCAGTTTCATGCTTAAAACAGACTGTCGCCACTCAGCATATAAAAAATATCCAATTATGTCATTCCTTACTGCATAATGTTACTCAGTTTCATGTTCTTAGCAATCATCAAGCATATATATATCAAATATTATTTTTAGAAATTTTACATTAAAAGAAATGAATAAAAACAAAAGGAAAACTTATCTTAGCCAACACGTTTTGTCCTCTGAGGGACTTTATCAAGTACCTCAGAGAACAAAACATGTCAGTTAAGTTTTCCTTTTGTCTTTATTTATATTGTCCTTTCAGACATATGCTATCTGAAATTTTTCACATTAAAAGAAACGCTAAAGAAAAAAAAATTTTTTTTTTTTACAGGATAATTTTTTTTTAAAACACAAAAGATTTAAAATATTTTTTTTTCTTTTGAATAATCAAGAACAGTTTTCTTGAATCTCAACAGAAAAGAAACTATATATCATGTTATAATATTCAATCATATAAACAAAGACATGTAAACATATATAGTTAATTGGAGATGTTTTCCAAAACTAAAACAATCACATAAAAGGGCACAACTATATGCAACAGGTTTCCTGGCATAATGGGCTCGATTATATTCAAAGAGATGTTCTTTGATCTCTGCAGTCAAACACCAACTATTTTGAAACAAAGGTCAGAATGCAATGTTATTGCAGGAGTACAACAAATATGTTGTATTTTACTGGGTAAAGGAGAATTATGTTAAAGAAATTAATAAAATAAGGACCACTTAGAGTGACTTAAAAAAAGAAATTATTTAATTTTAGAACTTAAAAGAGAAAATAAAGCTAAATTTGGATAAATTCTTGTAAACACTGCTTTTGAAAATGTTTTTGAATTAATATGCCCTATGAAAATGCTTACACAAGATGATTAAATAGGTAAATATTACTTTGAAGACAAGAGTCTCCAGAGAGAGCTCATTCAATAAATAACATCAATTGGCTTTATTGATTATTACTTAAAACATTCTCATTTAATATTTGATTCTGACTACATTAATGTTCAATAACATCAGATTTTTCACTAGAATGGAATATTTAAGAGTGTGGTTCAATCTTTACAACCAACTGCCATCATCTATCTTCTTGAATCCTCTTATTTTATTTTCCTCTCTCAGTAATGCCTTGTGACTTAGTGGCTTTATTGCCTTGCTTGGGGTGAAATGATTAAGGGGGAGGGGGAAGAAGCTCATTGTCACTACTCTGAAGAAAGTCATTATGAAATTAAAAGCCAATATAAAAGGTTTTTTTTTTTTTTTTTTTTATATATATATATACCAGAGTTAAACTTATTTTGAATGATGTAAAATTGCCCAATATTAACACTTAAAATAGTATAAATAATTGTACTTTAAAAGAAAAGGCCATGAACAGAAAAGACATCAAAAGGAACGTGTCTATTATTTTCATTTA